CATTCAGCTTTGATATTAATGAGTTTTTTGGGTTCATTGAGAACATGGTTGTTGTTCAATAATAAAATTATTCCTCAAAAATACAACTTGCCTAATCATTCTGCACTTCCTGTAATCATAAAGTGGGAAAACTTTGAGTTAGGTTTGCTGTCAAAATTCCACAAGAGTAACAACAATTCCATTAACTTGGCAAGAAAGGAAATTTCCATAAATGTCTAGCACCAAATTGAACCATTGTTACACTTGTCAAACAATATCAGTTAATAAGGACTATACAATATGAGCAAAAGTTATACAGTAGTGCAGTTTGAATTTAAGGATTAATAAGTTAAGTGAAAATTGGGTAGAAAAGGGAGAAACTCATTAAACCCATAGGTATGCATAGGTAGAGCAGTAAATGTTCTCTCCCAGATTCAGATTTAGTGTGCTGCTGTTTGCGTAGGGCAGCACGGTGACGTGGTGGTTAGCACTGAGAAGAGTTTGATTTCACCAACTAGCCGGGCTTTTCTGGAGCTTGCACGTTCTCCCCATGTTTGCGTGGGTTCTCTTCAGGTACTCCAGCTTCCTCCCACAGTCCAAAGACATGCAGTTAGTGGGGTTAGGTTGATTGGAAACTCATAGGTGTGAATGTGAGTGTGAATGGTTGGCAATTTCTATGTGTTAGCCCTGCGACAGACAGGTGACCTGTCCAGGGTGTACCCTAGCTCTCGCACTGTGGGTAAGTAGAAGAGAATGGATGGATGGATGCTGCAATTTGCTCAATCTATTCTTTAACAGCCTGTCACACTAAGTGTACCCACTGCATTTTTAACAAGATTTCTTTGACTTTTTTCTATATCTATTAATGTAGTTACTACATGCATATAACAGCACTGACAGAAAGGTTTTCAATGCTCCAGTCAAACAGTACAAAAATGTAACCTGCATCAAGTCCAAGAAGACGATTACTGTATATATCAGCCTCACCTTTGCAGGTGCGTCCGTTGGCAGCCATGACATATCCATGAGGTGGACAGGCACACTGATAGCTGCCTGCAGTGTTAACACACTGGAAGGCACAGAGGTTCCCGATGCTCTGGGAGCACTCGTCAATATCTGTGTAAAACACACACATGCACATCTCGTCACTGTGATTAAACTGTGAGGAAAGAAAGGTTCAAAAGCAGTCGGGCTTTTCAGCTTTACCTCGAGCATTGTGTGTATCTTATGTGGAACATCAACTACAACTTGGCATCAGGAGAAGTTCTCTGCAGCTGGAACATCAACCCCTTTTATGGGAAATTTATACCAACACATTTACCTCTGTTTTATAGAAAACCGTTCCTGGGTAGGTTATTTTGGTATTGATTGTCCTGTCTGATTTCATACATCACTCATCCGATTTCTCTACTGTGAAACTAACAGCAAGAGAACGACAGTCTAATATTAAAGGTGTTCTATGTATTCATCATTTGAAGCATGTTTTTCTGTTGTTGGCTTTCCTGACACAACCCCAAAAAGGACGTGTGTCTTCAGCAGGAGTTGAACCAGCAACTGCGTAAACCACTATAATGCAGCTATAGTGTATTATATATGTAAGTGCAGTCTGTGCATGGTTTTGGATAATAGAAACACTTCAGTAAATGCAGCTGAGGTTCACAACTCTCTGACTAAGTAAATCACAAGTGTTTGTGGGTAACTATTTGTTAAATTTCACACATGTATCTAATTAGATGTGTCTAAATGTGTTGACTGTAAATCACATAAACTGTAGGAATAGAGCAGTATGCTGGACTGAGGTCTCCATCGATCTCTCTGAAGTGTTTCTACCACACTGGCAACCTTGGAAGAAAATACCTTCACAGGTGTGCCCATCATCTTTCAGGTAGTAGCCTGGGCGACAATAGCATTGATATGAGCCATAGATGTTGGCACACTCCTGGCTACAAGGGTTTTGGTCACACTCATTTGTATCTGAGCACAGAAACAAAAAAATACAATCATAAAATTGGACATAAACGTGTAAATATTTATGCAAGCTGTATGTTAGGAGTTAGATAGAAAAAACAAATATTTGTATGTATATGTTGTAATGTTGCTGCCTCCCCAAACACCTTTGCTGCTCTAGTCATTTATCCAAGACACTTTGTTCAAGACAAGTAACTTGAAAAAAATCGATCTTAAAAGCGATAATCAAAACCCAACGATATCCTTCAGACAAGCGTTTATCTATAAACCTCAATGAACGCTAAGCTTCACCTTTGGAACAGAAACATTTACATCTGGATTAAGTTCCTTCAGTCACGTCTGTGACAAGCTGGACATAACGTGACTGTGCTCTCTGAAGCACAGTCACAGCTCCAGCATGCTGACGACTGACAGCACCTGAACCAGGAAACTATTATTAATACTCTTATCCCAGAGATGGAGACTAAATTAAATGGCAATGGAAAATAGCCTTTATTGATAACAGTGACTTACAAAGGAGACATAAACAGTTTCTCATCAATATACTTAATCTCCAAAGTCTGTGCAAAGACTGCTTTTGCCTTTTGATGCTGATGTTGTGCCCGGAGGCTCGCCTCTGTGATTTAAGTTCTTCATGAAAAATAAGACGGTCTGTCTAAACAAGGTGGCATTTAAATTTTCAATATGTCAGAGGAACAAACTGTCTAGCTTACCTTCGCAGTTCTTGCCGTCGAATGCGAGGGAGAAGCCAGCTGTGCATGAGCAGCGGTAGGAGCCTGGGGTGTTTTCACACTTCTGGGCGCAGAGCCTGCCAGAATAGCGCCAGCACTCATTTACATCTGTCAGTACAAAAACAGGAGCTATTAGGCAGGAGATAGCCTTGAGGCCCACCAAGAACTCAACACACATACTCGATGAGCTTCCCTTGAAGGCCATCCCTCTTTTAAGCCAGCTTTCTTTTGATTGGCTGCCTCTCAGACGCTTAAGGTTTGTCCAAACACCTATTGCGTGGGACTTTTTATGAATAGGAATACACACAATTGTAATACACGACAACAAAAACTAAAAAAATAACATATTAGGTCAACATTGAAGTAACTACAGCATACGCTCCAATTTCCTGAAAAAATAAAACCCAGTTAAATATGACTTTCTTCAAATAAACACTCAATGTTAAATATTATTGGCTAATTCTTCACAATTTGTTCAGTTAAATTCAGATCAATTCAATTTCAGTTATGTAGTTCAAAATCCCGTTCATTTTACCGTGTCATTATTTATTTAACAAGAAATGGAGCAAAATGCAGAAACAGTGAGTAAAAAACTAAGTACATGCTGTGATTCAGTACCTTGTAGAACCATCTTTAACAACAATAACTTCAAGTAATCATTTTCTACATCCCTTTATTAGTCTCTCATATTCTTTTTTATAACGTTGCTTCAGTTCATTGAGATTTGCTTACACACAGCTCTCGTAAAATTACAGTGTGTAAAATGTCAGCTGAGTTCTGCTTTCATACTCTTTAAAACATTTAAGCCTGCTTGCTGACATCTGTCTGGAGACTGGACGGTTGCATGTCTAATCTGCTGACAATTAATAATTATGAGAATTATGAGAATATCAGGAATAAATATGCTTTATGTTTCGTCCAAGAATTGAAATCCACAAATAAATGGTAAATGGCCTGTATTTATATAGCGCTTTTACTAGTCCCTAAGGACCCCAAAGCGCTTTACATATCTAGTCATCCACCCATTCACACACACATTCACACGCTGGTGATGGCAGCTACATTGCAGCCACAGCCACCCTGGGGCGCACTGACAGAGGCGAGGCTGCCGGACACTGGCGCCACCGGGCCCTCTGACCACCACCAGTAGGCAACGGGTGAAGTGTCTTGCCCAAGGACACAACGACCAAGACTGTCCGAGCCGGGGCTCGAACCGGCAACCTTCCGATTACAAGGCGAACTCCCAACTCTTGAGCCACGATCGCGTGAGAATTATGAGAATTATGAGAATATCAGGAATAAATATGCTTTATGTTTCGTCCAAGAATTGAAATCCACAAATAATAAGCATTTTTTACAAATGATAGGCTGAAAGTGTAGAAAGTGTTGTCCAACCCAGTTTGGTCAAATCTGACATCATAACAGAAAAGCTCTGATTCAGTGAGCCGACGTTTGCACCCATAGCTTCTCTGGTTTCATAAAGTGCTCGATAAAGTGAACCTTCACTCTGAACATCTTCACTTGCAGACGTCACACAGTGATACGTACCAGTGCAGACTTTGCGTAAGGCGTTATACTGGTAGCCTGTCTGGCAGTCGCAGCGGTAGCTGCCGGGGAGGTTGTGACAGATCTGGCCCACTCCACAGCGGTGCGTCCCCATCTGACACTCGTCAGTGTCTACGCAGGCAGAAAGAAAGATGAAGCACCTCAACAGTGACCCACTGAGCACCCGAGAGGGTATAACTTAAACACAGCTAAGGCTTGTTACAGTACAAAAAGACTAGGCATCAATGTTCTCACTCTCTGGGTATTATTATTTTGTTATTTATGTTTTTAAAATGATTTTTATTTTTTAATTATTTTGGAAAATAATTGTTGGTGTGTATCAGAATAAATATTTTCTTGGGAGAACAATTTATTAAAAACAACAATTACAGACCACTTAGGGTTAGTTTAGGGAACCAGTGAGTATTTCAGAAAATTAGTTAAAATTAAAGTTAAAAATTAGTCAATTTCCTTATTTGTGTGTAATACTTTTAAAAATATGGGGGAGTGGTGTGAAGATAGAAAAATGAATGAGTATGAAGCAAGATTTTAAATGGCAGGGACAACGGCAGGCCAGTGGGATGGGAGCTAAAACTGGATCTATTCAATACAGAATCACTACTATGGTAGAGTAAATGGCACATGTTTGCAGACAAGTTGGCGTCTTCAACATACAGCACAGGCAACGACTGCAATCTGCTTGCGACCAAAGTAAAGAAGGAGGTTTCTGATACAGCACTCCCTTTGTGACTCTTGGCGGCGACATTTCCTCTTGCTCATCGACATCTTGATCAAACAAATCACTCAGTACTTGCATTGTCATTTATAAGAATACAATTAAATGAAGCATAATTTGACACCATTTAAGAACTGCATGTAAGCTGAACAAGATTTAGTTGTTCTCATTTTAAGTCTGTCTTTTTGAGCAGTTTTGAGTACCAAAGCAGCAACTGAGTGAGAGCATCGATGCATGGTCTTTTAGAAAAACTCTTGTGCCACAACTGTACGATGACCTTTAACTGAAAAAATAGAAGTGATTATAAATAATATTCACTCTTGCATTTTTCCTGGTTGTATCTAATCGATTGAAACTGTGTCTTGGTCAACAACAGGGCCATCAGTGCTTTCATTCACACCTTTCCACAACACCATCCTCCTGTGTGAGTGGTGCATGTTGTGCTAAACCTCACCAACACACTTGGCTCCATCAGGGCTGGCGTGGTAACCATGGCTACACATCACAATCTTCTTCTGGCACGTGTAGGAGCCAACGGTATTGATACAGTTAAAGCCTGAACTGCAGGGCTCAGTCAGGCTGCTGCACTCGTTTATATCTGCAGAGTCAAAAAGATCAAGAATGAAGCTGTGACTGCGCGGAGGCTCAATCCTGATAGGCTTAAGATTACTTCAATTCAATTTTATTTATACAGCATCAAATCACACCAACAGTCTTCTCAAGGTGCTTTATATTGTAAGGTAAACCCTACAATAATACATACAGAGAAAATCCTCCCACCCTCAGACAGATCTGTGATGTATGTGCAGTCATCTGCAGGGAGACATTACCACTGATGATTACTTGCTCTGCTTTGGCTGTAGATCAGCCGAGGTACACGGGGCAGTTTTATGACATCAGGAGCACCCAGAGGTGAATATTATGTTTCGCTCATTTTGCAGTGATGCTGCCCTGCACGGCACTGAGAAAAGTGCAAGTAATCCAAAGAAAATTGGATTACATTCTGTTTAATCTTTGTGTTAGCACAGTGATTTGTGTTGAAGTGAGCTCAGGAACAAGAGAAAATCTGAAGTCTTGTCAAATACTTTTTCACAGGTACAGCGTGACATCTTGCTATGATAAAGAATCCTTTAAAAAAATTCCTGAATCCAGTGGTGAGCTCAGCTTAATGCTCTGAGGGCTAAGTCATCATCAGCGCTTTCACCAACCCTAATGCTAACTCCAGAATATGTCACTTCTGTTACATTACTCTCACAAGAATCAAGAATTAAGAAGTAAATGCAAATCCATAAGTTTTTGGGTAGCCTTCCTACCAAACAGATACAGAAGTGAGCTAATTGCATAAAGTGCTTGGCAGAGGTAAGAGCTTTTACCACTCATGGACCACTGTGTCTTATCATGTGTGTAAACTGTGTCAGAAAGATGACTTTACTATACATAGACTGATCAAACGTATTGTTGTGCATAATCACTGCCCCAAAAGACCCATGTTAGCAATCTCTTGATATCAGTAACCAGCAACGCCATCGGAGGTTAGGTGTATGTTCTTACTTTGGTTAACCTTTTAACCCCCCTTTCACCTATTTGGAACACTCAGAAAGCTTTACATAACACAATAACTGTAATGCAAAAATGAAGAAAAGACACTTGATTTAAAATCTTTTAGTTTGAAACTCTTAAGAAATATCAAGATAGTTAAAGCCTGGTTAAAAGACAGTTAAATATCAAGAGTCCGAGTAGTACTGCAGCATGGAAAAACACACAGACACAGGCACAATGCAGAGTAAGTTTGATGGATGGCTCTGCTAAAGAGGCTCATTTTGCTTAAGAATTGTCCTTACAAAGAATAGGACCAACTCTATCAGCTGTTTACTGGTCCTGAGTTAGGATGTAATGCTACCCAGCCTGGAGAGTATGGACAGTCTCTTACCAATACAGTTGCCATGAGAGTCCTGTGTGAAGCCACTGATGCACTTCTGTTTGGGATTACACAGGAAAGAGCCCACTGTATTCTCACACACAAGGCCCATGCCACAGTTATGAGTTCTCATCGTGCACTCATCAATGTCTGTAAAGAAGGAATAGATTTGCATTAGTTTATCTGCACAAAGCAATCTCTCAATGCATTATTCTGTTACAAGAGGCTCTGTAAATTTAGCTCGAGCTCTCCGGCTGTTAGTAGTACAGCAGGGGGCACTGTGACTCAAGCACAGAACATTTACACACTTTGACTCTGTCAGTGTTTAACTGGAGGGAAGAATTCAATGAAAACATAGCTTGATTCGACTCTGCAATTAACAGAAGTTGAACAGAACTTAAATGACAGTTATTGAATCTCATGAGCAATATGAGAGTTTTTTCCTTTTTTTCATGCCGCAAGTAGTTCATTTTATCCTGGGTCCTCTGAGCAGGTCTTAATTTGACTTTTCTCTGTTGTTAATATCAGAGGGATACTCTTCCAACATTCTGTCACTGCTTTCATATAACTAATTACTTTTTTTGCCTGCTGGATGGTTGACTAGATACTACCTTCATGTTATGCTTATACTGATTAGTCCTCTGTGATACGAGTCACATGAGCTTCAAAGTGCAGCACCACCAATCCTGCTCTTTGGTTGATTATCTTGTAACATATTGAACCTTGGTATCTGCTTAAACCCACACTTTACTGTTTGGGCCAAGGAAACATGAACTTCCTGTCTTTATGACGATTTGCTGAGTGAGCCTAAATTAGGTGACTTTGGGTAATTGTTTTTGTATTAAAAGTAGTCAAAGATGTTGTCATGTTGTTTGAACAAATCCTTGATATGAAATATTTACCTATTAACATACCAGAACAACCCTTTAAGTTGACACGTAGGTAAGGTCAAAAGTTTTAAAGGTATGCAAGCACTTGAGTCACAGAGGGGCAGTTCGGCTGGGATTAAATCCACCCAGAACTGTATTTATTCTGGTTTATGTTAGCGCTCGCTATTATGCTGACATAGACCATTTGCAAGACATGGATCATATGATACCCAAACAGTCTAATAAATAATCTGGCCATTTTCAAATTATTGCATTAGCTAATGAAATAACTATCACCAAAACCCCAGAGCATTGTTAATCTAGAGCTAGCTAGCTAACGCTATACGAGCTAATGAAGGACAATAAAAACAACAGCCAAATTAGGGGTTTGGTATTATTCAGTTTAGACAGGCTGTTGTCCAACATACACAACACAGAATACATAAAATACAACATAATGCTACCGTCAGTCTTGTGTATATCTTGTAATTATTTTGGTTGATGCAGGCTTGCACACTGTCTGTGAGTATATGCTGCATACCAATGTGACTAATACTCAGTGAATGTATTTAGTCTCCTTTAAGATGCAGTTGACAAAGTATGGCAGGAATGTTGCAGTGAAAATGATTTTTGCATATTTCTGCATCACTAGTGTTAATTTGATATAAATAAGTGAGGAAACAAGGATCTAGGACAGTACAACAACAGCAGCACCTATTGCATTAATAATGATGCACTACAGTACACTGCAGTCTTGTATTCATGGATTTATGACCCCCAAAGGATTTCCAATAATATGTGTTTTCAGTAATACCGCTAAAAAGATCAGTAGAGAGGAGGAGGTGACAAACAATAGGACCAGAATGGCTTGTGTGTGAATCAATGATATGCTGCCTCAGTTTGAGCCAGCATGCTGGGCTTGCTTGCTTCTTGTTTCTGGACCCTCTTAAAATTTCTGAAAAAGTGGCAACAGTGAGTCCCACACTCCAACACAAACACGAACCCCAGCCAAAGGTAAGTGCCAAGATGTGGAATTACACCAGAGGAAATCTCACAATAAGAAGACAGCAGCTATACCTTGACACACATAAATATGTGTTCGATGAAATGTTTAAATGGAGTATTTTTAATATTCAAAATGTCAAAAGATTTCAAATTATTTTGTTCACATCTGTAATTAGATTCCTGTAACTTTCTCTTTGTGTACTTTTTATTTTTAGTGTCTCATAATTTAATGTTTAAATGAAGCTGACTCCCAGTTTTTGTCAGCCTCTGTACACAAGCCTTTATTAAATATATGACATTGATGCTGAAATTTCTACAGCTTCACAATAACTACATTAAACTATAAGAAATATGGCTCACCAATGCTAGTTTAAACAAAGTATTTTCTTTAGTAAAACTCCCTTGCTTTTTGTTGTTCGTGCTGTAAATGGCTACAGCACTTGCTGTATTCTTGTATTCTTGACGTGTAGCTGCTAAGTGAAAAGAAATGAGAGATGCTGAGTGCATCAAGCCCTCAGCAGCCTGGGCCTATTGCAGCAGACCTAAGGGCTGGTTCCGGATCATCGGAGCCAGCTCTAACTGTAGACTTTATGCCAAAGGAAAGTTTTACTGTAAACTTAATCTTGTCTCACTCCCAAATGCAAGCTAGGAACTAATTCTACAGAAGAGCGGTCCGAAAGCTGCAGGCCCTGCCCATTCTACTTTTAAAATACCCCAGGAACCACAAGTAAACCAGCTGTCTGAGAGCAACGTGCTGCATTGGTGTGATATGATACTATGAGGTCTTTAAGATAGCACCTGATTGCGTGGCTGAGTACAACAATCTCAGTTTTATCTGAATTTAGAAGCAGGAAATTAGAGGTCATCTGAATGGCACTGAAAATGTATGCCTTCCAATAATACTGCCTAAGGGAAGCATGTATAATGTAAATATTGCTCTCAACATTGAACCCTGTGGAATTCCATGATTAACCTTAGCGTGAGAGGAAGACTCCCCATTTACATGAACAAATTGGAGTCTATTAAACAGACTGCAGTGCCGTACCTTTAATACCTTTAATACAGAGAGCTCTTATCTCTGTAGTAAAATATAGTTATCACATACAAAGTGGTCAGAGACCATAAGAAGAGCATTTGTAGCCTTCACTGGTGCTGTTTCTGCACTATGATGAATTCTGAACTGTGAAACTCTTCAAACAAACCAATTCCTCTGCAGATGATCTTGAATTACTCATTCATAAAAAGAAGATTGAGATTGGTCTATAATTAGTTAAGACAGCTGGGTCAAGTGATTTTGCTTTTATATCACTGTCCTTGCTTTTGTTTTTACAAAACCAAATCATCCTGAAAATAAAAAAAAATCCTGCATATTATATTGAAGAAGACATCATTTCCACCAGCTATTTCAGAGGCTCTGGAAATGACTGCTGGGTAAATTGGTTTAATGAAACACATCAGGATCAATGAACTCACCCTCGCAAAGACTGTTCCGCAGCTGGTAACCAGCAGGACAAGTGACCTGCAGCTCGCACACAAATGAACCCACTGTGTTCACACAGCGCTGGCTGGGCTTGCAACTGTGGGCACCAGTCACGCACTCATCCACATCTGCAGAAAAAGACAACGGTGACTGTGTGTGAGACAGAGGGAGGGAGGGAAGATAACAGGGGGTGCAAGAATATGATGTGGAGGTGAGCTTGCTGATGGACGGGTCCCGTGCATAATTTTGCCCCCGTGCTCAGGCTCTCCGAGTGTCACAGAGATCGAGCTCAGTGAGTTGGCAACAGATGGACAGCAGCAAAACTTCAAATGAAAAGTCTCTCTTATGCGTAAGAATTTGTGGCAGAACAGGAAATTACAAGTTTTTGCTTTTGCTTACATGAAAACCATCTAGCTGGGAAGCCTCAGGCATGAAAGTCATTCAGTGCTACAGCTAAAAACCAAGAGTTGCAGTGAAATGTACAGCTGAGCTCATTAATACTTCACAAACAACAAACAGAGGCTCTTCTACCAGAATAATTGGAAGAGAAAAGGATGTAGACGGAGAGAAACAGGCCTTAGCTTGAAGAATACCACATCATCTGTCAAACATGGTGAAGGCAATGTTATGGCATGGGTCTGGTGTTTCTTGATTATGATGATGATAGAAGTAGTAAGCTGAATTTTTCGGTGTACAGGTGTGCACTCTGCTCAGATTCAGCCAAATGTTGCTAAATTAATTGCAAATTCCTTCACAGTCCAAATGGATAATGAGCCAAAGCGTTCTGCAAAAGCAAGATTGTTTTCAGGGCAAATAATCTGGATATTAATCAGTGGCCAAGTCATTCATCTTTTCTCAACCCAACAGAGCATGCTTTTCAGGTACTTAAGAAAAAATTGAATGCAAAGAGACCCACAACCAAGCAGAAAATGAAGGCAGCATCAGTAAACGCCTAGCTCAGCATCTCAGGGGAGGAAATGGAGCATTTGGTGATGTCCATGTGTGCTAGGCAGACACTAACTGCAAAAAATAGCAATCTTTATAAACTTTATAAACCTAAATGAACCAATAATCTATTAACTCAGCTGTATTCCTGCTGTTACTTTTGTAGGGAGGTGGCCATCACGGTGCAGTGTAAGTAGGTATGTCATAAATCTAACACATTATTATCCTATAATTTAATTTTATCCTCCCACTACCCCAGACAACCTCATTATAAGAACTTTATTAATCTATTGGTCTCTTAACCCCCTAAATTCCCAGTTATCACTGGATGGCACTCATTCTAATGCTGTGCAATCTACATATGCAATGTTTCTTCTTTTTAAATTGTTCTCCCAAGTTTGGGCAAAAAACAAAGAAAATTGTTTGTGTAACTAACACGCAAGACGAAAATTTCAATTCCCCCCCAAAAAAGGCTGTTTGTCCTTTCTCCAGCCTTTAGGGCTACAGCTGAGGTTATCACCACTCATGACCTCACAGGGTTAACATCCACCAGCTCATCAGCTACCTTTAAAGGTTTAAGGTTAAGGTCAGGGTTCAGTTAACATCCACCTCTTTTTAGAGGTAATAATTTAAATGTCTTCAAACTGGAACACCTGGAATGAACAAGCTTTACTTGAAAGATAACCTTTAAAAATGTGTCTATTTACTGCAGCATGTGGCCAATAGATGACCAAGTTGAGTTTTGTTTGTTCCTTTGTAATATTTGACTTTGAAGAAGTCAAATTGAAAATAACAGGTCTTGGCAAAAGCTACATGATATTTTGCTTGTTAAGCGTGTTTGTGTGAAATGAAAAAACAGTTGAGAGCCTTTAAATCTTTATCAGTCAAACTGTGCAGCAGCCAGTAAACAGGCGCTGTTGATTTATGACAGCAGTGGCCTTGTGCTGAGACGGTGGATCGCCGCTCTGTCGTGGCTCGTCTTTATCAAACGGCTGCATTCCCTTATCACGCATCACATGCGAGGCCGATTAGTTGGATGCAGTGATAGGGTAACGCTGGGATTATTGTGTGTGTGTATGTGTGTTTGTTTGTGTGTGGCAGCCATCCACATTTGAAGATCACCCCAAAATATGGTGCATTCCACAGGGAACCAGACAAAAAAGGTGTTGTACAAAATATGCTGGAGAAAACAAAAATCTGGAACAAGAGGGAACATATTCTCCTGTGCTCCCCGTGTGTGTGTTTGAGTGCCAGCAATCCCTTTTTGAAAAGTCTTTGTCGACTTTCAAAGTTTTTGCCGTGGGGAATTTGAATAAACTGTGTGCCTTACAACACCTTCCCACAGGCAGGAGTAAAAACACAGATCTGAAGTTTTCAGCGTGTACCTGGCTTTGTCACATCCTGCAGCTTTTTTCCTGTTAACCTCATAAAACTGCACCTCATCACCTCTCACAGCTCAGAGCGTACTTTATGGTATTATATGAGCCCCCTGTGGAGCTGCAGCAAATGCATTTGTCTAAATAAAATTAACAGTTTTCCCTTCTTGAGCAGCGCAGTGGTGACAAATTCTTGTTTGCGAGCTATCTTTGCAAACGTCTCCATTTCTTCCTCAACTGAGAGACATCTGTTATGAACATTGTAGGGAGGGATATTTCCAGGGGCAAAATCCTCCTGAGCTCATAGACCACCCCTTCCTCTGGGCGCTGCTGGCCTTCAAGCACAGGGTTAGACAGGACTGTTTCCAAAGTTTGCGTATTGCCAGTGGTGCAGAAAGTCTCCTTCCACCACAGCGCTCTGGTGGCCAACGTTATTTCCAGTTTGTCATTCAAATCCGAAAAAGCAAAGGAAATCGGGCCTAATGCTTCAATGTCCCTACACCTCTGCTGACTTGCCCCGTGGAGACAGCCTCATTACACAGTGAAGCGATCCAGTACAAGGTGGAAACAACTTATTTTTGAGAAATACAAATGCTTAGTTGAATGGACAAGGGAGACAGCAGTTTGAAAGGAATTCCATCAAGAGCGAGCACAGGGAGATGTCCGAAAGGCACCACAGAAGAAAACACACACACAGTTTTTCCTGCACACTTGACCCAGCAGACAATGAAGTATTTATTTATTTTTTATTTTTTTAAGGTCAAGCTGCAGTGAATGAAGTCAGCCTTGGCTTATTTGCCGAACTAGTTTTAAACGTGGAGGTTAAAGTTGCACGCCGCGAGCCTGATTCCACTGTCGGCTGTGACAGCGGATAAATGAAGGCAGCTAAACCACACAGAGTGGAACAGATGCATTCAGGTGTGTACCTGTTATTGGGGTATTTTTTTCAGGCTTTTACAATTTGCACAGATGCAACTTTAGTTTCCAGGTTTTTGTGTACAGACACTGAAAATGATAAATTGATGAGCCAAAAGATCACTGACAGAAAATAAAGCCAATAATTTTGATTCAGTGTTGTCGATGTTAGTGGGTCAGAGCAGTGAAACTCGTCTTTGCTGAAATATGTTAATATACGAAAAAGGACTGAAACAGTACGCCTCAGTTTTTCTAATGCTGCTCTAGTAAATGAAAGACATATGTCAGCAGGACTCTTGGGGCTCTGGTAGCTCATTGCTTAAATTGTTCTATAATTATAAAATAGAAAGTTTCACCTCGACCCATCCAGTCACCAGAGGTTTCTTGCTGTTAAAAGGGAATTTTCCCATCCCACTGTTTTCAAGTGCATTCTCATAGGGGGTCATCTGTTTGTTGAGGTATTGTATGGTCTTTACCTTTCAGTATAAAGCCCCTTCAGGTAACAGTGGTTGTAAACCAGTGCTATGTAAATAAAACTGAAGTAAATTTCATTTACATTCCTTTCCAGGCATAAACTGAATGACTTGATTGTCTGAGAAAAACACTAAAATATTGCCTAAACCTTGAGAAACACCAGGAATGTCTGTATGGGATGATGATATTAGAGTCAGATTAGAGATTTTTTTAGCCTAGATTGGACTGTGATTCAGAAGACATCGTGGTCAATCAGTGTCATCTTCCACAAAGACAATCCTGACCATGTAAGCGTCCAGATTATGGCAGCAATGCAACCACAGAGATGATAACATAGTGGAGGATGTCATCCATAGTTATCATTCAAGTAATAACTCTGTAAGCTTTCGATCTCCACAAAACACTCGAAGGAATGCAAAACAAATCCAGTCCTGCCCGCAATGGTTTGTTTAGTCCCAGTTCAGAAAAGGGTGAAGGTGTCAGCCACATGCACTGGAGCCAACTGTGTGTGTGAATGGGTGTACGCCCCTGGGATGTTCATTTGTCTGAACCACATGTATCATTCAAGTTGTGCATAAAACCTTCTCTTAAAAACAGTCTTTTCTTAAAAAAAACATCTCCATGGGAAGAACTGTGTGCTTAAATATTACCAGTTATTCACATTCATATGCAGCTGAAAGCGAGATCACGAAAAGCAGCTGTATTTACCCTGTAAACCTGCAAATTAAAATATAACAGTCTCAATAAGGGACGACTCGCAGGTTTTCTGATGGAAGTGCTTCCATTTGCTAAACAAATTACAGAAAAGTGCAAATGATCCCAGGTGTTAATACTTTCACAGTGCTTTCACAGTCTGATGCACCCTCATTTCAAAAACACTCAGGATCATGTGCAAATCATTTAAAGTCTATATTCCATTAAAATGATAGAGCATATGAAACCCTCTGTGTTGCATCACCTCTTCTTTAAAAACAGTGCTTTTGCTTCATAACAGATTTCAGCTGTTCCTCCTTTTTTAATGTCAGCAGTCTTCTAATAGTTGCAAACGGTGGTTTGACATTGTCTTGCACAAATAAGCAAGTCCTTTCCTATGGCCCTGAAAAAGATGGAGGCATATGTTGCTTCAAAACTTGAACAGATGTGCAACTAACTCATGACATGTGCACTAATGTGCAATCCCCGTACCATATGTATATTTGAACTGTGGGCTGAAACCAATCAGGTGGTCCCTCCAGTTTTAGCCCACAAAGCCTGGAGACCATAACCTCCAAAAATAAGTTCAGCCCCTTTATGAAATGTTTTGCTTGCATTAAATTCAAAACTAGCATATACTTTATTTTGCACTTCATTCCAGCACAATATATTTTTGTTCATTTTACACACCTACCCACCCACCAAGCATCAACAGCAAGTACTCCAGAGTTTACTTCACAGTCTACTTATATATCTTTCAAATCCTCAGCACCCCCTTGCAATCATGACCTGTCATGGTATTTGCTTTGTTTCATTCCACTCTGCACTAAATGTTGCCCACCCACAAGTCCACATGTGGGAGCACTTTAGGGAAAGAAAGTGCTCACTTTGCTCACTGAATGAAATGATAGGAGGGAAAACACTTCCTTTAATGTAGTACTTGTTCATCTTGAGTGTTATCCTGTCTGGTAACAGACTCAGCACTTCCAGCACACACTTTGTTAATTTTAGTGATTTCACACCTAAAGCCTCCTACCAGTGTCCCGAGCTACCACACAAACATGCTGAAAGAAAGGTACTGAGTACATACACAGATGCTGTGTGTAGTGTGTGATATTGCAACAACTGCTCCCACAGAGTAATTGGCTATGGTTGAATCATGCTTGAGGCGACAGTTTCCACCACCTAACATTGGGAGCCCAATCAGCTGATGCATTGTTTAGCATCACGAGACCTTCATGAGTGACTGAATCCAATTAAAAAGTGCCCCGACCTATGGACAGACACTTCATTTCACTGCAGCTCTGTCATCCGGCCTGCATGTATTTGTTCCTTTATGCATTCACTGGGTTTGTTGTTGCTGTTAGGTTGCTTGTTACCTTGTGGTAACCAGGCTTGAGGGAGACAGCTTAAGGGATACATATGAGCTTTGTGAACCACTCCAATTACTGCCAATGGTAATGTGACAAGAAAGCACGGCGGCCCTTACCTTCACACATCCATCCATCTGTCATCATTGAGAACCCCGGGAAGCAGGAGCAGCGAGCCCAGCCTGCCACGGCCGTACACTGTTGGCTGCAGCCACCGTTGTCTGCAAGAGACAAGCAGCATGATTACAGTCGTCTCTGCATTCCACACAGCTACACCTCCAGGGCAGTCATTTGCAGTCATGTTTCTCATCTTTGTACTGTTTCTCTTGCTCTCCCGAGGCTACGATGGACCCCACCTTCCCTCCCGCACACTGATCATTTGCTCCCTGCTGGAAGGAGCCTCTCATGAGCCATCGCAGTCACACACCAGAATCAATTCTCCCTATTTAACAGCTCAATAGCTCTGTCACAAAGAGGCATGGGCCAGGAACTGTTTCCCCACAATCTCTAACCAACACATTCCCCTCTAAAGCTCTGTAGCGGCGAAGGCCGCTCTATACATCGATCAGGATCTTCTTATAGCTAACAGAGACACTTTGAAGGAGTGGATTGTTTCACTCGAAGTTGGACTTTTGAGCTTAAGGGTTTGCAGTGCTCATCTCCCACTGACATGATTAGGATTCTGCTAATGAAGCTGCTGAAAGCTTAGATTAACTAATACTAATCAGTTTATTAGTGAAAACATGTTGTGAGGCAGCTCTTCCTGTTTTGACCTGTCGTAACTCTGGAATGTTTTACCTGTGAGCAGTCAGGAGGCGCTCACACACATCGTGTTAGTAAGAGCAGAAATGTATGACTTCTATAGACAGAGTTAGAAAGTGAATGCAATAGTGATGGCTTGTTCATTTCCCCACCATACATAAAGCCATAACTCATTCTCACCACATATTACACATGTTTGGACACATTTTGGCGAGGTCTCTCTTGGAAAATAAATTTTAAACTCAGTGATAATTTTTACTTTTAAATAAAGGATATTAAAAAAAAGCTTTAACGTCTTAACATCCACCATGTCACTGGCTACCTGTTCAGACCTAGTGTTGGATTTTGTTTTAAGCCTACAGGATGTGTTTTTGACATGTAAGAATTATATATACAGTGGCTTGCAAAAGTATTTGAACTTTTCCACATTTTGTCACATTACTGCCACAAACATGAATCAGTTTTATTGGAATTCCAACACAAAGTGGTGCACACGTGAGAAGTGGAACGAAAATCATACATGATTCCAAACATTTTTTACAAATAAATAACTGAAAAGTGGGGTGTGCGTAATTATTCAGCCCCCTGAGTCAATACTTTGTAGAACCACCTTTTGCTGCAGTTCCAGCTG